TTTTTTTCCACATTAATACATAAAAATGGACAACACATTAAATAAACATTTTGTTATTAACAATTAAAAATATTAACACCAAAAATCATGTATAAATTAGGAAATAAATGTACAAACTATTTCCAAAGTGCTCTTTCAAATACATTATATACACAACATTCAAGAAATTCTTAATGTAAGACATTTCAGCTCGATGTGATGTTGCTGTGTTTTAAGTGTTGTTCGTATCCTCTCAAAAGTATCATTTCAGCACTTTCAAAAACCACATAAAAGGTGTATTTCCAAGTTGGCGAACAGCAATATTGCATTCTTCTGGCTACTTGTACTATTAATATATTATAAAGAATATGGTTGTACTTCCTTTCTGTTCCTTGATATTTGAGAGTACTTATTGGTATGAAAACACCAGCAGGAAAGATGGGAGGAATAAGGACTGAATAAGAAACACGTTTTCTATTTTATCAGCAATTAAAAGTGTTAATGTATCAAGGGCAGTGCTTGCACAATATTTAAGAGTAAACTGTCTGGCTGCTCCATATAAAGACTTCTCCTTCACAGGAAAGAAAATAACGACATGTGAGGTGTTTCCTTTTCCCTGTGGTCTTAGTTTTCCAAAATAGGAAGTACCAGAATTCAAAATCCAATAAATATAGCAGTTTAGACAAAGAAAAGGAGAAAAGCCTGCAGAGGATATATTTACTCTATAGTCTAATTTTCAATTTAGTCCTGCATTAAAAAATGCTCATGAAGTAGAGCCAGCTTAGCCTTTTGCCACTGAGAAATTCGGTACTTCATTTAGCAGTTATATAAGCATTTTTAAAGTGCTTTATTCAACTTCAGCACTTTATAAGAATGTATTCAACTGGATAAAAGTGACTTTTCTTAGTTGTAGTGGCTTCTACATGCCACTATTTCTTATTTCTCAATTCTCCCTCTATAGGTTTTCTCTTACTGCTTGACCCTATTAACAACCCCTCCCCTCTCTGCATAATACGGTTGCAGAATTAAAGCTGAATTTAGTTGTTTATCTGCAAAAAGGACGGATTTTTTCTTCTGAACTACTTTTATCGAGCTACAAAAGAAAAACAAAAGTAATGAGGAGCTGTAGGAACAGTCAATCAAAAAACGTGATAATATTCATGGCTATAACACTTGCTGGAAAATCTGAATGAGAGCAATGGGAGAATCAGAATTAAGAAGGATGCCAGCTACCAGCCTGGGAAGTCTGGCACAAAAATACATATGCAATTTATAAAATTTGGAGTAGCATATTTAAGACTGGAGTTCTGCCAGATGTTTTTCTTAGCTTAGTACAATATGCAGCAATATTGACATTTAGTAGGCTGACATTCCAGATCTCAAAGCTCCCTTCTATTTGTCTTTTCACGATAGAAATACTGTAGTTTACATGGATATACAAAAGGTGCCTGTAGTGATTAATGCTTTCTTGAATATATGTTTTCATCATCCTTCTCTATCTTTTACAACAGAAACATGGACCTATGCAGATATTTTAAATTAGAAGACTTGGGTATTGAGCCCAGTAAGTATTGTGGAAATTACAGTCAATTTTCTTTTTACCTTACAGCATGGAACTGACTACACAAGGAATGTATCCCTACCCTTACTCTAAAGGAGTAAAGATAAGAGCCACGAATTTCAGAGGCTGGCAGGTAAACTTGAATGCATCACTTAAACAGCAATCAATAACCTCCCCTAGGATACTTCCCTGGGCTGAGATATGACTAAGTGGCTTTGTATTTAACCAGACTTCAGAATAACCTGTCTGTTTTCCAGAACTGGGCAAACTGTGATCAAACGATCCTAGAGCTATTTAGAAACATCAAGGATGGCAGGGGGTAAATGAAAAGAAAAAAAAAAAGAAAAAAAAAAAAGCATTGTATCAACATACAGTACTATACACAGCACCAAATATCAAACCATTAAAGCATTGTCTTGTTATCAGTAGTGCACTGCTTCATATCCAGCATGAAATGAACACTGTTCACATACAGACGCTGCTTTGTGCTAAGGGGTAACCAACATATTACAATTAATCAAAATTGCCTGTACATCCAGTTCATATATACTATTGAAATGAATCTGACACAGGATCGTGTTCTTTTATTGCTGGTAATTTCCATATTGTCCCTAAAAAAAAAACAAAAACAAAAACACAGAAATATTTGTGTTGGAGAATCACAGAACTGTAGTGATAATACATGCAGTGAAATGGACAATTATTTTTTTTTTTGACTTTTGAAAGATCCAACTATCACCAATGCGCTTGCATAAAATTGTCGAGCAGATTCACGAGCAGAGCTAAAACCTGCTTTTTTATAGCAGGGACTCAGACAACTTACCTGCTCATAGCCATAAGGCCTCTGTTGCTGGGCAGAGGGTCCTGTCTGGGAAGCTCTGTAGCTTCCATATTGCTGCCCCTGTCCCTGTTGGTAACTAGAATACTGTGAAGAGGCTCCTTGTGCAGGACCTGAGAAGAGAGTGAAATTAGTAAGGCTTAGCTTGCCAGGAGGATTTCTTAGGGTTAACAAAAGCGGTTCAAATATGATGATGGAGAGCACTGCCGCTGGTGACCTGAATCACTCCAAATCCCGCCGGTTATGTTAGCTGCACATTCAAAGCACTTGCACTTTTTCTTTTAGCATCAATTCCTCACCAAGTGATAATAAGGCACATAGAGGATTGCAAGAAATCTAAATGAGGGCAGAGTGATTCTAATTTTAAGATGTTATTTTTCCGTGTCAGTTGCATAAGCATTAGATGTGTAGGAAGCCTGAGAATTGATGTAGTGGCCTCTTAGCTACACTTACAGGGAAGTCACTGTGAGGCATAACATACATAAGATTTCTCCACAACATTTTCAACTCCTCAAAAGAGAACAGGATCCGGTGTGATAATACAGAACTGCATGTCATACTGCTATATTAATGTATGTTACTGTACACAGAATCCCATTTTTCTTCAATGCTGTTGGCTAGTTTTGGTAGGTGGGTGTCAAGATTGCTGAAGAAAATAGTTTACATCATATTTTAGCTTAGGAAAGGAGATGTCAGGATTAAGCATTGCGAGCACTTGCCATGTTGGTGTCAATGACAGCTCTCTTACCATATCCTTGCTGTTGTCCTGGGTAACTTTGCTGATTTGGGTATTGCTGCTGGGAATACGTTTGCTGTTGTGCAGCTCCCTGTTGGTATCCTGCCTGCTGCTGACTATACTGA